GAAAGAGTGCTGTTTTCTAAAAACCATTATCTTCTCTGGAAACCAAGCATTTCCTGGAAAGTCTTCCAAAGTTTCATCAGGCATAATTTAATTTATCCTTACCATGCTGAACAAGGATTATAAAAGTGGCTTTCTGTTTCGGAAATGGTATTTAAAGAAGTTAACCTACTAACAAAAACTCATGTAGCAAATTTGAAGCAGAGCAGAGACTGTGGTCCAGGGTTTCTGACTCTCAGCCCTGGGCTTTATGCACTGATGTCATTGATTTTTCTTTTTCCGTTTGGAGAAGAAATTCTATCACAATGTTTTTCAGAGTGGTCCATGAAGCACTTGTATAAGAAATTTCCTGGGGTGCTTGTGCCTTTCTAAGCCTACCCAATCAGAACTGATGCCTGGCACTCTGCATTTTACACGGCCTCTCATGCTGATTTATTTTTGAAAGTATAGTATGAAATATTTCAGATATGTGCACTATACAGCTTAAGAAATAGACTATTACCAATGTTGTTGAAATCTCCTTCGTACCCTGATAGTATTCCCTTGTTCCCACAGCAAAGTTAACTACTGTCTTGGATTTGTCATTTATCATTTCCCAACATGATTCCAGTACACACTAACATTTGAAAACCTCTGCTCAGTTTTGTTAATAGTGTTGCTTTTTTCTGAAAATCTGTTTTCTTCCATCTCTGCCTGTAAATATATCTCTCTCAAAGGCCAGGTCAAATGCAGCCTCTCTGTGAAGCCTATCCTGATGTACTTTAGAAATCTCTAGCAGAGGTGAACTGTTTTATAACTCTGAGAGAGAATATGCAGTGAAATGAATAGGAGAGTTGAGTGGGAGTGTTCCCTGGGAAGGGAAATCTGAGAGATAGCTGGACAGCAGACATAAATTTTCCACTGTGTTTGAGTTGAAGTTGCTATAAGAGCAATAAATTGAACAAATTAATAACAAATTAACCCATACTAGACTTCTGCTCAGGGTAGTAAATTCAAACTACCAAACAGCCATACTTGGACAGATATTTGGGAGTGGGGTGTGAAGTGTAACAAGATGGCTGCCCACCCAACAGTTGCACTTGTGAATGGGAGGTTGTGGTGGACAAAGGAGGTTGATAACACCCAGCTGAGGAGACTTTCCCCGCCCAGAGACAAAAACTAGGCATCTACCTAATTGAGAATGTGCAGTTGGGAGGGGGTTATACAGCTGTTGCGATATGGGGAAGTAGTAATTCTGGCAGCAGGGGAGGATTGAGGGCAGCTGGGATGTAGCAGCAGGGAGGGTTCTGAGGTCTGTCTGAGATTGTGCACCCAAAGGTTTGTACTAGCGTTGAGGCTGCCACAAGGGCTGAACCCGAGCAAAGTGTCTAACTCTAGGCCTCTGTTTGGTCAGAGCAATGAATGAAAACTATAGCAACTGTGTTTCGGGAGGACACTTGGTACCTTTTGTGATAGGGGATTCTTGTGGAAGGAGCAGTTGAGGAAGGGAAGGAAGACGGCAGCCCACTGGTCACCTGCACATGTTCAGTGGGGGAGTAAGGGTGGTAACACACTCTAAAGGGCTTTCCCTTTCTAGAGGCAGGTGCAGTTGGGACAAGCTTCTCCAAGGGGCATATGTGTCTGGAGGGGCAGTAAAACCTGTAGTTAGGAATGGCATGTAGAAAAGTAGGAGCCAGGGCTACAGCTCATACATGGCAGGGCTGGGATTTAAACTAATTTTCTCTGCCACCAGAGCTCCTGCTTTTAATATTTTTAGTGGTGTTTTTCTTAAGTGTTGGTACCAGAACCTGATGCATCAGCATCACTAGGGTGCTTTTGAAAGGCATATTCCTGGGCTACAATTACTGAATCAAATATCTGTGGGTGAAGTTCAAGAATCTACATTTAAAATAAGCCCCCAGTCTTCCAGAAGGTGGCAGAGTCTGTCAATGGAAAATGACTTCTATGTTGCTATTTGAAGCACATCTTCATATCCCAAAATCATTAGAACTGTTGGGGACAAATATAATTGAGGATAAATTATCCTGTGACTTCATTTTAAAATAACACATCTTCTAGGACATCTTTCTCCATCTATGATCAAATGTAATGAATCTTCTGTCAGTTACAGGTCCAATGTCTCCATGAAGTATGTTTACAACCTACTGTGCTCACCTGTCTAAAAGGCAGGAGGGAGGATAGGGGATGGGAGGTGTGGTAGGGCAGGTTGGGCAGAGCATGGAGCCACACGCGCTGGGGCAAAACACATACCTGGGCAGAGATTCCTGGTCTCTGGCCTGGTGCCTGTGAAAAATTGCAAGGTAACAACTCCAAGCAGGCAGCTTTTCAATCAAGCCCTGTCTTTAGGGGGGCTGAAAAAGGTGAAAGGTTCCTCCTGCCGTGTCAGGAAAGGCACTTAGCCAGCACAAGCTCCTGCTTGAGAAGTCAGAGCTCATGCCAGTCCCAGGGATCTGAATGTGGAGGTTGGAATACAGAACTGCTGTTCTTTTCTAAACTTGTGCTCTTTTCTTCCTAGTCTGTGTGGGAAAGCTCACTTTTTATTAACTCTTCTCTCAAAGGGTACACACTGAAAGCAGGAAAAGGCTGAGGTTTTGTTTCCAATTTTGTCCTTAACCCATCGTACATACTCTGGGCTTACATACTCTGGCTCATACCTCCTCATATCCTATGATTTCAGTTTATCTGTGGTGAGAAAAAATAGGAGCGTTGTTCCATTGCCACTGGATAAATTCCAGAGCCTAGAAAAGTCTTTTGAGTGACCAGTTTCATTTCCTTTAAGACTATCAGACAGATAAGAGTGTCTTCTAATTTTAAGCGTTCCACTGAAGGGGATTTCTAACCTTAATTAGTCATTCTTCTAGTTTTTAAACCCTCTCTCACCGTCAGAAAGTTCTCTCTGTTTTCCTATTTAAACTTTTCTTGATTTTTCTTTAGGTCCTTGTCTTTTTCTCTGGCCTCACTGAGTATTGAGAACAGATGGTTGCCATGTTGCTGACAAGCTTAGCGAGTACTTTGAGATCTTCCAAAAGGCTGCAGCTGAAGGCAAAATGGGCTTATTAGCTTCTCAGAGTGTATATGCAGTGTTCCTCGGTGAGGAAAGAGAAACGAAGGTGAGGCTGGCAGTCCCTGGAGCAGCTTGCTTTTCACGGTCTGAAACCTTTCTGTAACCTCTAAATATGCCACCCAGTCATCATTAATCAAATACCTGCTTTGTGGAGGCTCTGTGTTAGGTTCTGCATCCACACTCAGGGCGGGTGACCTTCCTATGAACTTTGGTGTAGTACTCAAGTATAGCGTTCTTGTAGTTAGGCTCTCTTGGCTGTAAGCAGCAGAGACTTGCTTGAGTTCTCCAATGAAAAGGGGACTTATTATAACATAAGAAAAATGGAACTGGAAAGCCATTGGGAAGGACTAGATTCTCTAGCTCTTTCAGGAGCAGTATGGAGTTTTCCCTCATGGTGTATCTGCTTCCTACCTCTGTATTCTCTTATTTTACCAATCAGTTTCCTCTGCTTACCCAGAATTGATGTCTATTCATAACTTTGGACTGAACTTGGCTTTAGCTTGACACACACTTGATTTTACCTCCTGGTATTTTTTTCCTAACTTCTGCTCCATCTGCTAACTAGCTCAGCTTCTCTATGTTTCTTTTCTTTTTAAAAAATATTTATTATTTATTTGGTTGCACTGGGTCTTAGTTGTGGCAGGCTGACTCCGTAGTTGCGGCGTGCTGATTCTTAGTTGTGGCATGCATGTGGGATATAGTTCCCTGATCAGGGATCGAACCTGAGTCCCCTGCATTGGGAGTGTGGAGTCTTAACCACTGCACCACCAGGGAAGTCCAGCATCTGTGTTTCTTGATTAAAATTTCCAGAAACAAAAATCTGGCCCAGCTCTTCTCTTCAGAGCACGATATGATGTCATCCATTACTGGCCAGCCAATGAATTTGGTTGCTTTTGTGTCAGATGCCAATGCTTAGTTCAATCCATGGTCGCCAAAGGCAACGGAGAGGTGGTCATAGGTTATAAAATGTAAGCCTAGGCAGTAAACAAGAGCTGTGGATGAGGCAGTTGTCCATAAAGGCAGTGTCAGCAAGCAGACCCAGATTTGTATCTCTGGTCAGAAGAGTAAGGTTATCACTAAGATCACATAGCTTTTCCCTGTAGTAACCAAATGACCTAAACAAAATGGAGGTGAAGGCAAGGGGCACAGTGGAAGGTTTTGGAAGCCAAAGAAAGTAGGAATGCTTAGCATGAAGCTGGAATGGTTTCTCAGAAGAAGGAAGTGTTTCTGGAAGAGGGAGTCTGGTGCCCTGCTCACCGGGAGAAGCCTAGATAATGTGGATGCTTTCTGTAGATCCCAGTCTGGCAGCTGAATTCAAGCTACAGAAGTCAGGACCTACCTTCGACTAGTAAGGACTGACTTGACTCTTAGAAAAGGATGAATTGTAGGAAAGAGTAGCAGCCCCTACCTTTTTATTCTTTGTAAATCAGACCAAGATAGAAGAGGAGTCTGGCTGGAGAGGCCAATTCAGCTTTGTAAGTCATTGGCAAAAACATTTTGGCTGTGAAAAGCATACTGGCCTGTCTCAATCCCCAATACTGTCCTTTCTTTGTGAGTTATCCCCTCTACTATCTACTGCAACTCACCACCTATGGCACAGCAAAGAAATCCTGTTGAGTTGGTAGTGTCATAGACATTTAGGGTAAAAGGGGAAAGGTAAGCTCTGAGTGGAGGAGGGAGAATTTGAGCTGAGCTAATCCAGAGGGAATGTTGGGATGATAGAAGACCTGTTATATTTTTTCTACCTGTGTGTATGCTTTTATTTTTTTCCCAGGACTCCTGATAAGCTCAGGCTGTGCATTATACCCCTTGGGATGGAATAGCCCGGAGATAATGCAAACATGTGGGAATGTCTCCAATCAATTTCAGTTAGGTAAGGTGACCTGTGCAGGATGGCGGTGATGGCTCATTGGGAATCTGTTTTTCAAAGTGCTCTTGGAGGTGCCTGTGCTTGCTCGTGGTGCTTGCCTGAGTCTCTCACTATGTTAGCTTGTGGGAAGTGGTGGATTGGTCAGACTTATGTGGCCTTGCTAATTTACAAGGGTTGAACATAAATTCTACTTCTTTAACCATGTCTCTCCACACCCTTTATGTAATTTTACCCAGAGTCCTGCGACTGATTTGGGACAACCCTATCTACAGAGGGATTCCAAATGCTTGGAGACTGCTAATCCGTCATCCTCTGAATAAATACTAGTCCCTGTTGTGTATCCTTCTAGGTACTATTTTCCAAATACAAATCAATAGTATCTCTTCTCGCTCCCCACTGAGGTTATAACAAGAGGTAATTTGCTTTACATCATGCATTAGGAACCTAGGTTAAACACTGGGAACTGTTACTGGCATTTTTACATTGTTACTGGCATGTTAATGACAAGAGGTGTTAAATATTAAAATGGGTGACAGAAGTAGCTCTGGGCTCTTCTATGGTTACCAACTTCACTGAGAATGGCTTAAGTTCAGTATTGTGAATTGGGAATAGATTGGACTCTCCCTGGAAGATTTCAAAATATTTGTCCAACCTACCATGATGGAAGAGAATAGGAGGAGAAATGTCCGGGTCTCCTTGAGTATTCTCAGTTGTAGGAGAGGATTTTGGAACAATGAAGCCACCCATTCCCTATAGCTTATGCTCCAATACTTCCCTTTTTTCTCTGTGGCCTTAGATTGTTTTTTGAGTCTCACCTGACTCATTTTTGGAGGAAGGAGCTGTTTACTCTACAAACATAACATAACGGAAGGGCTATGTAGAAGACATGACAAATGTAGACCCCGGCATGTTCAGTGTTCCTAGCTCAGGGCAGGGCTGACTGGTAAATATAATAATTCTGCCATAGGTGAAGGAATGAATAAATACTTGGCAGGTGCTGGGTTGTTAGTCCTATAATTCTACTTTTCTAAAATAACAGCTTTATTGATATATAATTCACATGCCATAAAATTTGCCCTTTTAAAGTGTACAATTAGTGGGTTTTAGTATATTCACAAGGTTGTGCAATCATCACCACTATCCAATTGCAGAATATTTTCATCACCCCAAAATGAAACCCCTTACCCATTAGCAGCCACTCCTCATTCCTCCCTGTACCCAGCCCCCAGAAACCACCATCAATTTAGATTTGCCTGTTCTGGACATTTCAGATAAATGCAATCATAATATGTGGCTTTTGTGTCTGCCTCCTTTTACTTAGCATGATGTTTTCAAAGTTCATCCATGTTGTAGCATGTATCAGTACTTCTGCCTTTCATGGCTGAATAATTCTCCGTTGTATACATATAACATATTTTATCCACTCATCAGTTGATGGATACTTGGGTTTTTCTACTTTGGGGATATTATGAATAATACTGCTATAAAAATTTGTGTATACATTTTTGTATGAAAATATATTTTTATTTCTCTTGGGTATGTATCTAGGTAGGTGTGGAATTGCTGAGACAAATGGTGACTCTATATTTAAGACTTCTGAGGACTATTCAGGCTGTTTTCCAAAGTGAAAACATCACTTTGGAAACTGCATCATTTTACATTTCCATCAGCAATGTATAAGGGTTCCAATTTTCCAAAATCTTCACCAATACTTATTTTACATTTATTAAATTATAGCCATCCCTATGTGTGTGAAATGATATCGCATTGTGATTTTAATTTGTGTTTCCCTGATGATCGATTTTGTTGAGCATCTTTTCATTTACTTATTGGCCATTTCTATATATTCTTTGAAGAAATATCTATTCAAATCTTTTGCTGATTTTTAACTGGGCTATTTGCCCTTTTTTGTTGAGTTGTAAGAGTTCTTAATGTATTCTGGACACTAGACCCCTTTCAGTTATATGATTTGCAAGTACTTTTTCTCATTCTGTGGGTTGTATTTTCACTTTCTTGATGACATCCTTTAAAATACAAAATTATTTAATTTTGATGAAATCCACTTTTATCTAATTTTTCTCTTGTTGCTTGTGCTTTTGGTATCAGATCTAGGAATACAGTATTGTCAAATCTAAAGTCATGAAGACTGTTTTGGCTACTCTGGGTCCCTTGCATTTACATGTGGATTTTAGGTTCAGCTTGTCAATTTCTGCAAAAAATCAGTTGGGATTTTGATAGAGATTGGATCAGTTTGGAGTGTATTGCCCCTTTAGCAATATTAAGTTTTCCAGCTCATTGAACACAAGATGATGTTCCAGTGAGTTAGGTTATCTTTAACCTCGTTTGATGATATTTTGTAATTTTCATTATATAAGCCTTGCAATTTGTTGGGTGACATATATCCCTAAGTATTTTATTGTTTTGATTATATTGTAAATGGAATTGCTTTCTTAATTTTATTTTTGGATCACTCATTGTTATTGTGTAGGAATACAAATAATTTTTCTGTATTGACCTTATATCCTGCAAACTTGCTGAACTCCTTTACTAATTCTAATGAACTTTTAGATTACTTAGGATTTATTATATACAAGATCACATGATCTGAGAAGAGAAATAGTTTTACGTCTTCCTTTCCAATCTTTTCCTTGTGTAATAGCCCTGACTAGAACCTCTAGGACAATGTTGAATAGAACTTTTCAGAGTTTTCTATTCAACATCCTTGTCTTATCCCTGATCTTAGGGGTAAAGCATCCAGTTTTTCACCACTAAGTAAGAAGTTGGCTAGGCTATTTTCATAGATGGCTTTTATTAGGTTTGAGAAAGTTCCTTTCTATCTATTCCTAGTGTAAGTGTATTCATCATGAAAAGGTGCTGGATTTTGTCAAATGCTTTTTCTACACCTACTGAGATGATCATATGTATTTTATTGATTTTCATATGTTAAACCAACCTTGAATTTTTGGGATAAATCACAGTTGGTCATGGTGTATAATCCATTTTATATGTTGCTGGATTCGGTTTGCCATATTTTGTTGAAGATTTTTGCATCTATATTTATTAGGAATATTAGTCTGTAGATTTCTTTCTTGTGATGTGTTGGTTGGATTTTGGTATGAGAATAATATTTTTCTAATAAAATGAGTGGCTACTTTTATTAATGTAAAATGCCAGAGTGAAAAACTGGAGATGTCATTTGCATGTAGTCGTATGGCAGTTTTCTGCACCAATCACCACCTCTAAGGATCTAGTTCCCAAATGGGCAATTTTGTGTTTGGCTGCCTCTGTCCCAAGTTGATGGGCTTCAATTGTGTTTACCACAGGATCATTACTTTTCTCTTCCTTCATTTACTCGGGTTTTTTTTTCCTTTCGTTACTGTTTCCCTCTCCACTGCATTCTTCTCCTTTATTTACCCTTCTCTCCTACACCATATATTTGCCTAAGGGCTCTAACTCCCCTCTCCTTAGTGCACTGGACACTGTGTTGTTCTGTGAATCTGTAGAGGTGAAGGAATTTAAGAATCCTGCTTGAGTGAAGCCCTCCTAGTTCCTTTTTTGAATCACTGTCACATCCTTCCAACTCCCTGTGTCTCTTATTCCTCTGAAGCCCACATTTGCTGCCCATATTCTCCAATTGCATGCCTGTATATTAGCACCTTTCTGGTTAGTACTGAAAAAATGAGATAACCTGTGCCATTCCTGACCCATTTCTAGTCAGCTGCCCAAACATACAGGACAATGACAACTCTATTAACAGTTGTTCCCTTGCAGTATAGAGGTGCTAGGAGCAGCAGTAAAACTTGTAGTAAAATTAAAAAGAAATCTTTCATGATGTGATGGGAATGCCACGCTTGTGAATACCAAGATTTGGGAATGCCAATGCTAGAAGTATAGCCTTTCTCCTTAGACCTTTCTTTAATACCCTCGAGATTCTGGCAGTGTGGAAGCATCCTCACACAACTTAGATATTAAGAGGATATATGAATGAAATAGGAGAAAAGTACCGAGTGTCCAGTGTATAGGCCTTTGTTCCCTTTTCCTTGAGAGGCAGCATGGTATACTGAAAGATCATAGAGTTTGGAGTCAAAGATCTCGGTTGGTATCCAGGCTCTGCCATCTTTGTAGTTGTATGGGGTAAAGTCACTTGATATCTATGTCTCAGTTTCCTTCTCTGTAAAATGGGGGATACTAATAATACCCATATCAGTTCTGTTGTTATGGTGAAATAAGAAAAAGTATATTGAAGTATCTAACACAGGGTTTGACTTAAAATAGATGATGGGCTTCCTTAATAGACAGCAGAGTAGAATGTGCTGGAGGGTAGACTGTCAAATGATGGCATTACTTTGATTCTGCCCTAGGCTCTGTACCCTCCTATGTGCTCTGTATTTTGGGAAGGGAGAGACACAGAGCCAAGAAAGACATGGACCCTACCTGAGCTTCTTACCCTGAGTGGCTTGAGAGAGGTGAAGGGGATAGGGAGGACAATAGAAGCAGGCATTGCCAGTCAGGGAAGTCGATTCTTAGAGTAAGTAGATTTCTCACTCTGATACTTTGAATGGCATCCTGCAGCCTCCAGTATGAAAGGGTTACCCTCATGTCTTCAACTCCTCTTTCC